GAGCCAAAGGACCGATATATACGGTGCGGCAACACGCAAAAGCGCTCAAATTACCACCAGCTCACCAGAAACCCTACCAACACAGCGACACATAAAGGCGCAAATCTTTTCAGCAAACAGCACAAGCCACCAAAAGTTCAAAAACTAGTTACAAAGGTACGTGGTTGTCGTTTCAAGCACATTATTTTATGTATTATTGATGAAAATGAGTATAGGTACATACATACATACGGGTATGCAAGACGAACAGTAACACCAGTGCGCGCGACAACGATTTTAGTAAAAACTTTTCACGTAAGTTGTTTGTGTAACTATTCTTTTAAACAACACTGCAACACACTTTTTTCACTAAGTTTCGGGGCTCAAAATTATTTTCCCATATCTGCAAAATACATATTCATTTCGACGATTTTTGGCTTTCATCACGTTTATTGTATTTAGTTCGAGTTGCATTTTCAATTCTTTACGTACATATACACATGTATGTATGTACATCAACACTAACACATCACGGAGTTTTGATTCTAATCTCACTTGTTATTAATTTGGTTGGCACATATTGAGTTCACTTTAAATTTTCATCCACAAAATCACTATTCGCGTGCGGCAAACAATATTGGACAAATAAGAAGTCACTTCGGAATAAGTTGACAAATAATTCAATTACAATTGAGAGTTGGGTGGCGAGTTTTTAGATTCTGCAATCATAAGAAAAAAGTAAAATATATATACATACTTACGGATACATACATACGTATAACCATTAAAACATACATACATATATATATTATTACAAATAAAAGAATATTTCTTGATACGTGTGAAAGTACACTAGAAATTCTTGTGTTAAAATCTGGGATTGTGGTGGTCTCTAAGCATTTTTCTCAAGTGAAGTCGTACTTGAATCTTGGTCTCCAGTGGTTTCTCTGCACTAAATAATACCTGTCAGTTTGCAAAATTTTTTGTTCTGATCAACAAAAATGGATAAATTCATAAAATTGACTGATGCTGTGGCAGAATTTGAGGCCGACTATAATGACACGGCCCAAACTGAATATACAAAATATAGCCTCACTCTTCAGCAAGAGGAACTTAAGGCAATATGGAGAAAGGTAAAAACAGCTTACGAAGAATTAGTGCATTCCGACACGTTAGACGCTAAAGGAGTCTCTACGGTTAAGCCTAGGTATAAGAGCTCCTATTCTGTTTATTTGCGCTGCATGTCGAACATGTCAGATTTCCAGGCAAAGTTAGT